TATTGTGACAACACTAATGTAATGGTAAGTAAGGTGGCATTATTTTATAAGATGCAAAAGAGTTTTAACATTTAAAAATCTAAAATCACAAGACCAGATGGTAAAAAGAGGAAAAGATCAAGGAAACAGCAGAAAAATGCAGTTATCTATAACTCTGGTGACACACTTATTCTGGTTGTATTGCTCATCGCCAGGTTCGTGTGCTCGGCAGGGAGACTGCGCGTGTACTCTAATGCAGAGAAAACGAGGTACAGCTGAGTTTTTAATCCTCATAATCCGAACAGAAGTCAGACTGTAAGTATTTGGACCGTTACACAGCTTCAGCACATTCACATCAGCTCACTGACATGTGTACTGATAAAACATGCATGCTGAGCTTTGTTCGAGATTTTAGGATAAACGTTTAGATGTCTGTGAACATTAGAAGTAAAGAGCTGACTGTGCAACTAACAAAGATTAGATTGCAAAAGCAAATGTTTAAAGAAGCGTTCCTTCTAAACTTGAAGGTGGACAGACATCGATCCTGGACAGCTGAAAGTCAAAATATGTGACTTAGTTAGCGGCACTCTTGCTGCAGCTCACAGCTGCGTTCCTCAACAAGGAAATAAAACCCACCCCAGATCAGCCAGCTAGGGGAAAACATAACATTTAGTATATCATCAAACTGGATGTGTAACTGTCCTCATACTTTTTACACATATTGTCATTGTTGCACAGACTGTTCAGATCTGCTGCCAAAAAGTATGCTGCTCCAGTTCCTGTGTGTGTGTTTTGCCTGCAGGACATTCCTGGGGATGGAAGTGTCAACTGGGCATGCTCAGTTGTTGGAGCTGATCCGAGCTGTTGACAGGACGATGACAGAGTTTCGCCTGGAGACTTTCTACAAAGTCAGTTAAACACACACGCAAACAAATCTGCATCTTTACCAGCTATTGTGTGATGATTTTGAATGAAGTAGAACTAGTAATGCCACATTAAATGCAGGGTCCTGATTAGTGAGCGCGATGTTCTTCTATGTTGCACCGGCCTCTTCATTCTGATCGAAGGGCAGTCGTGGTGTTAAACACAGATACCAAGCAGAGACTTTAATATGACACATCAGAGAACAAACAGCAAATTAAAAAACAAAAAAAATCATTATAATGCCTATAATGTTCCTTAATGTGTTTCATAGGATCCATCCTTCCACGTGAGTCTGGCCTGGTGTGTGGGAGACCAGACAGTGCAGATGGAGGAGTGCATGCAGGAGCTGCAGGTACTCGGACAACTTGTGATTTTCCCTAAATCCTAAATCCCAGCACTGACATCTGTTTGTATTATCTTTATATGATTTCTTTGTTCCTCCTAATTTGTTAGATCTTTTGTAGTTCTTTAGTTGATTTTAAGGGCCCAGACTGCTTGTCATAGCAAGCCGAGTCCAGGTGTGATTAATAAACTCAGTATATCTCAGATAAGAAACAGTCTGACTGAAATGTTTTTGAATTATTCTTAAAACTATGATAATAGTGGGTCACACATGAGTGCTGATATACCGTTTTCATTTCCTGTCTGTGAGAAATGGCACTTTATACCCAGACAGGGATATGAAAACCTGTAGTGGCCAAGCAGTAATTACACAAAATCAGTTTCTCTTCATTTTTGTTACTTTATTGTCAGCTCGTTGTCTTTTACTGTAAAGGATCTGCTAAACAAGGTTTGGTCAGCAGTCTGGCTTTTCACAGGTTATCAGTGAAGCTCGGATAAAAGGAGGATTCACAGTTACTTATTGATAAGATAAAATGGGATACACTGTAGTGTAATCCTGTATTTTAAATATGCTTCATTTAAACAGGGAATTTTTCAGTTATGTAGTGTAATTGTTTGAGCTGCCGTAATGCCACAGAGTTTTAGAGTTTTGGAAAATTAATCCATACGTGTCCAAAGATCTGTGTGTCCTTGGTCATGTGTGAAATAAGGTGTTCTGGTATGTGCTTTAATATCAACATACAAATGAAAAGCTGTTACGCTTTAGTCAGCTGCTTCAGGCTTGATGAGAGGGGAGCTCAGAGAACCTCGGGTTGAAGAAAACCCGACAGCGAGCAGGTTCGGTTAACAGAATCCTGAGTTTAACTGACTGAATTTAAGTTAAAGTTAACCCTCTTTCTGGAGCAGAAGACCCAGTTTCCTTCATTTTGGAGTTATCAAACTGTTTTACACAATTAGAGCACAGGTTCTTTAGCCCAGCTGCAGTAGATGTAACTGAATTTGTTTTATTTTTTTTAATATGTTGTAGAGTCTAGTAGACGACCACGAAGACGGACCATTTGTGTTGAGGCTGGACTGCTCGGAGCTTCGCTGCAGGACGGGAAACAAGACTTTCCGCTTTCC